ATGTTTCTCAAGAAAACATGAAAAACTGTCCATCCAATAGGAAGTATAAACTCATGCAACTTGAACATTGATACAAAGAGAATTTTCTAATTCAGAGAACATAAAATAAACATATTTAAAATAGGGAGAAAAAAAAACTTGTTCTTATATGTATTGTTATATCCTTTCCATCCTGGGTATAGGATAAAAGAAACCCCTTACTTGCTTGTTAGAAGAAGAAAGCTCTCACTTGAAGTTCCTACTGGCAGATGTCAGTTGAAAGCTCTGCTTACGGAATATGCTGCGGTGTCAAACTCTGTTGGATAATTTTAGACGAATGTGTCATGTGTGACATGGAAATATGGCGTGCTGTACATTACTGATTTCCCAAGTGTTTGGAGCAGGTAGTAATGTGCTGGGAAAGTGCTCTTTATCTATCCACACAGTGTACTTGTAGAGCAATGGGGAAATGCTTTTGGTGGAAATTACTTTAGTCAGAAAAAGAATCCATTTACAATATGCGCCTTCTAACATCTTTCAGACAATGCATTGTATTAAAGAGGCATTTTTTGATTAATGTTTTATAAACATTTTTCAGCATGACAGCTTAAAGCCCCTGTAAAATTGTAAATGTGTGCATCGTGTTCACTTCCATAAAGTCAAATGCCATCACATAAAGTCTAGTTGGATCCTGTCAACCACAGTGACATAGAATCAGTACCTGGGAGCATTAAAATTAATTTGCTTCATTTATATTACTGCCGTGATAGCAAGATGAAAAGAGTCCTATATTTAAATTTTACTTTAAAAAGAAAACTCTTTCTAGTAAGTTTGTTTTTTTTTTTAAATTATCACCATTGTTTTTCTCCTATTTAGAGAAGGTAGTGAAAACGGAATCATAGTCTGCACAGTAAATTTATGACGGGATCTGGAAAAGTACAGATCCATTCACTCTACACACTCCTTTTACACACCTACTCTATGCTCAAAGATGAAGGAAGGGCCGGTGGTAGTTAAGTACAGTGAACACTAGGCTGGAGTGTGTCGCAGGTTGGGTAAGCATAGAGTAGAAAGGACCTGATGGCCAGCGTGGGACTTTGAGGATGGCATCCCAGAGGAAATGACCTAAGAGCTGAGGGCTAGAGGACTGGGTCAAGCGAGATGTGGGTGAGAGCATTATAGGCCAAAGGAGCTCCTGTGCAAAGGCCGAAGGGGTCGGGGTGGGGGGGAGCAGCACAGGGCCTCCTCCAAGCTGGAGCACAGAGTCAGGCATGGGGAGGAGTATGACATATAGAGACGTAGAGGGATGGCGGCCAGGTCAGGAGGGTCCCCGCGCACCGCACTTAGAAGCTCTCCTGGGTCACAGACTCCTGAGGGGTTTGACAGAATAAGATTTTGTGCTCGCTCTGGCCGCAGAGCGGGAAAGAGCTTGGCAGGACACACCTATAAAGCCGGAGAGACCGGTATGGAGCCAGCGTGGGAACACCATTGAGAGCTGACTGGCCGGAAGGAAGCTTATGGGGAGGAGGTGGGGGTGGTCACTGGGGCACCCAGGAAGTCACCTCGTGCAGAGTCAGGTCACATTGCGCTCCTGGCACGCCTTGCCCTTTCACAGAGCCATTCAGCAGTTCCAGAGTGCTGACGGAAGGAATGAATGATCTAGCGAGTTGTTCAGCAAGTGAGTGAAGAGGAGGAGAGGGGGCACATGACCTAAGCTTCTGGCATAAGAGCTGCCGCTGGAGCTGTGATTTGATTTGAAGATCCCATTTTGCCCAATTCATGACCAAGTGGCAGAAATCACCGTGTGTTGAGTGCAGGGGTCCCTGCAGGTTCCTGACGTTGCTCTGTTGAAATTTGCGCTGTCATACTGATAGTGACGGCAACATGGCAAAGATGCCCTAGAACTGACATATTAAACTCACTGCTTCTGAGTGATGGCCGGCCACCAGGGCATGGCATGCTCGACCAGGGAGAAGTCAGCTCTCGCTCAGCATCTCCCAACTTCTTTTCTACACTGATCTTCAAGGAAATGAAAATGCAAACTGGAAGCCCTCTCCTGGGGTTGGGGGCTACTGAAAGGAAAGCAGGGAAAAAGAAAGACGGAAAGATGCAGATAATAGGGGATTGAAAAAAACGCTAATAATTGGAGAGGAAAGTAGAAACAAAAGATAGAAAAGTAAGGTGAGTTTTAAGACTGAAGGAAGATAAAGGTACCTGAAACAAATAACATGTCACTTGAATCGCTGGGGTCCCCCTCCCCTCACCAAGTGATTGAGCTGTGCATCCCACCCACACACACCCCAGGAGAGGGACAAGCAAGGACACATGACAGCCACTTGGGTCCTAAGCCCCAGAAGCTAGGCTGTTTGTTATATCATGCTCAATCCTATTTTTAACATTAGTCGCTTGGATGACTAATGATAGGAAATTTGATTAACGATTAACAAGGAGGTATTGCAGGCATGTAAGGCAGGGAGGAGAAATCCTATTCAGTTCGGCAAATGTCTGCAGCAGCTGCTAGTCATCACGGATCCCTTCTCTTTGTCAAGCGAGGTGAGTAACTATAATGCCAGGCAAAGGGAGAAATGCATGCCCCGTACCACCGCCAGGGTCAGTCAGGAAAAGACAAAGCACTCTCTCAACCCAGGAAAGATTAAGCAGTGTCGGAAGGGGGAAGGGGGACAGTGAGGTCGCTCTAGCAGCCCCAGACCCCTCCTCCTCCAGCCTTTTTCTAGCGCCCCTGCTGGCAGAAACATCCAGGGAGCCGGCCGCCAGGCAGGGATGTTCACAGAGTCCCGAGCAGCGTGTACATCAGAAGGGTGCGTTTGCAGATGAGATCCAGGAGCGGAAGAACCAGCGCAGAGCCAGGAGAGAACTTCACGCAAATTGCGACGAGGATTCCAAGAAGGTAGAAGGTCACTTGTACACGGGAAGCTTATTGAGAGTAAGGTCTTCGCTACATCTTCCTGTCTGTGTGCCCTAGTCACTACGGGGGGTCCTAGCAGTCACTTAGGTCCTCAAGCTTATGAAATCGCAGGAACATCCTGGTATGGGTAGCAGGGATGAGGTCTTCTGCTTCTGGAAGGGCTTCGGCTTCGTCTCCAAGAGGAAGGAGTTCCAAAAGAGCTTCTGGACGAGAAAGTGTTTTTGTGTACTAAAAAGCTGCATTTCTGCTTAATGAAGCTGCAGCCCCCGTGACATGGTGAACTGAAGACCCCTGAGACCTCGAACCTTCCCTGGCACAGAGGGCTGGAAATGCAGGTTGCCCGGGTTGCAGTCCAGACCCCTCCACCTGGGACAGTTCCTGACCCTGAGGTGTCTCCGTTTCCTCATCAGTAGCATGGTGCGAACACTAGTTTTCATCAGCCTCTCAGGGTTATCGCAAGGCTTCATTCAGTCACGGGAGAGCACTTGGGTGGCATGTGACATCCAGTAAGCTCTCACTGCGTGCTAACGAGGATCAGCGTCATTATTGCACGCTCTGTGTACCTACTTCCCCACGCTAAGGTGAATCTCTGCTGTGGCTTACCTTGAGATACCTCGTCTCTCTTGCAGCCAATTTTTGGTTTATTGACCGTAGTGGCAGAGCCCACTTCAGCCTCGAAAGGGTAGCTCGAGTGATTTGGCCCAGCAGCCATGGTGCTTGAACTTCGGGTCAGAAACCCCCACTGTTGTCACTTACACGGACAAGTATCTCCATATTCCTATCATTGGCTACCCCTAGCCCTGCTCCTGAACGCCGTCCCTTTGGGCCAAATAACCTTCCCCAGAAACAGGAAGAGGGTGCTCAGCTCTTCTTTTCTCATCATGATAACTTCCCAGGATCATAATGTCAGACGCCACTTTTGACTCAGTTGATAAAGTCTACTGTTTCTTAAAGAGAAGGCTCTTTTGTTTTTTATACTGGTGAGAAGACAGAAAGAGCAAAACTCTAAGCATGTACTTTCCAAGCTTTGAGAGAGAGATTGTTGGGGACGAGTTAAGTGTTTTCAGTTTACGACAATGATTTGTGAGGCTATGAAAAAGAAAGCAGCTATGAAATACATTTTTGCATAAAGGTTTGAAATTTATTAGAAGGTAAAAATAATTGAAAAAGCAGAGCTTTCCTCAGTGGGTTATAATAAAAAGTTATTTATGTGCCATCAGTGTGCATGTTTAGGAGGTTGGGTCCTTCTCAGAGGCTGTTCTCAAAGAAACAAGAAGGAAGCTAAGCTATTCTGTTGAAAAAAGCTGACGTACATACATGGTAATTCTGACAACTGGGCCGTATTAAAACAATTGGTAATAACAGTCAAATCGCCGGTGTCTGGTTTCTCTTATAAAAGCTTAATAGGTACACACTACAGACAGCTGTTTACAAAATCTGCAGACCTTGCCCTTGGTGTAATAGAATGGTAGACTCAGAAAGTAGTATTCATTTACCTGAGTTCCATTAAGACCTTCACTGTGGGGTTTAAGCATTCAGCTCTAAACTTAGAATTCACCTGCCATATAATAGCTCATAAAGTGCTTTGAGGTCATTGGCCAAAAGAAAAGCACAAAGCCTTTATTAATGTTCATTTAGCAAAAGTACCCTCCCGATTAAAATGGTATATATCATATATGACCTTACCATATCCTTTCGGTTCTCAAAAGTGAACTTTGGGACATGAAATGATGCCAGGCAGGCCTCCAGCAGCCTATTTCCCTACTAAGCAAGGAAAGATCCATTTTGAATCTCTGCTTTACTCATGTTCTTTGGTCTACTGAGAAGCAGTGCCTCTCTCTTCTCCTTGTAGACAGCCTGCTAATCGGCAGTGGGAATTAGTGGTGCCTTTGAACACTGCCACCTTTTCCATTTCATCTGTTCTGGGTAGAGCTTAGAGTTTTCTGCAATGAAAGGAAGAATGGAAAGATTTGATGAGTCTGTTGAGACATTCCCTATGAACACAAAGGGGGAAAGGATGGTAATGACCTAGTCCAGAGCTCCAGTTTTAATGGGGTGGGTCTTTGGTATGATGACAGACTGAATTTACCTCTAGATTTTCTGTCTTCCTTGCTCCTCAGGAATTCCAATGCTGAAGATCGTGTTTGCGGGCCACGAGCACCTCTCTCTAATATCTGTGCCCTTGCTCATATACCATCCAGTTCAGATCCTTCTGGGAAGTGTGTTGGTGCCCACAATAAAGTCTTGGATGGTGTCAAGGCAGAAGGTGAGACTCTGGAAAGATCTCATTTGAATCCAAATCAGACTGAAATGCTATTTCTGAATTTTAGCTCTTCATATACTTTAACTTTTGCTAGCATATCCTCATCCTCAAGTACATATTTTCTTAACCAATCATAATAATAATGATGCACTGATCCATTTCGATTTGAAAAGGAGGACTGAGAGTTCCATGTTGTATATTGTTATGAAAGTACAGCTATACCCAAAATGCAGTTTTTAAAAGCTTTTAAAAAAAAAATCCACTCATATTGGAGGGCATAATGCAATGTGGTAAAGGTGAGTATACTCAAAATACCCGTACCCCTCCGCTCAGGTGTACCCCTTCTTTTCCCCACCCCGACTTTCCTGCATGTCCTGATTTCACATGCCTTTCTAAACATGATAACACCAGGCTTTATCTAAAATGTCTACTTTATCTTTAATTTTCCAGACACCTAGAAACTTCTTTGCACAGCACAACTGTGTGTTGGCGCATTTAAAAACTTTAATTAGCAAAGGAACGTACACAGTGTCGATTTCACCACTTCGCTCAGTCTTGTAACTTATTCGATATCCATAGATGTGATTTCCTAAATTAGCAGCCAACATAAAATCAGGGTGATTCATACAAAGTTTAGATGCCGCGTATACCATCGGAGCATCCGTCGGGCTGGCTGCTTCCCAGTGCCTCAGAACTTACAGGACTTCTCTGAGCCTGGACACAAGGTGGCAGCTGTATCAGGAGAAGAGGAGGAAAAAGAGAGCCAGTGGCCAGGGCGTGCCCTGTGTTGTGTCATTAGGGTCCTAAAAGTGGGATAGCCACACTACCACCTATTGAGCTCTGTGTGTGCTGAGCACATCCTGTCTTCCCCCGCAGGCATGGACCTGCAGGCTCAGCGCCTCCTCTCTGGGAGCCCTTGGCTACATTATTTCACTTCTCTGTACCTCAGCTTCTGCCACTCTGAGACTAACAATAATTTCTGCTCTTCAGAGTTCCAGAGGCTTCTCCGGCAGGTGTTTGATAAAAACTAGCTGCTGTAATTATCATTGTTGTCCTCGTTTACATTACTGTCTACGGCACTGTAGCAAGTTCTGCTGTTGCCATCAGACAGCTCAGGAAGGAGGCTTGGGGAGTCGAGCAACTTGCCGGAGGTTACGTGGATGGGTTTGTCAGTTCTAGAGGCGGGACTAGAACCCTGGTCTGTTTGGTCCCCAACATCCTTCCCCGATACCACAAGGACACTCGAGACTGAAGGAGTGCCCTAGATCCCCAGGATCCTACCGGAACAAGTTAGCCCACCCAGCACCTTCGTTTATTTTTCCACTTACCAGAATGGAAGTGATTACCATTCCTTACTGGGTACCACTCCGGGCTCTGGTCCGCCCACCCAAGAGTTGGTAGAGGAGCAGTTTAGTACCTTTATAGTTCTATCACTAGTTATCCCTTTGAAAACTTCCATTTATATCTGTCAGTGTATATGTGCACTGTGGGTCACCATTGATACACAAAAATTTTGGCAAAGAATGAAAGCATTTAAAAATCCTAATATCCTGTCAGAAATATGCAGTTGTAGTGAACAACAAATTAAACAGAATGAAATTGTCTTCTCAGTGTTTAAAAGCATAGTGACACAGGCATTTCCAAAAGGGAGGCTAAATTGGACAATGCTGTTCACTCTCCTTTTGCACAGAAACCACTCCAAACCCGGGAGGTGTTGGCTACCTTAGAATAATCCAGAAAGTATGGAATATTTGCCCATCCCATTTGACCACAAACATAAATGCAAACTATCAACCATAAGGGTATCCATGAGTATCTCTTCTGCTTTACAAATAAGGCTGATTGAGACCCCCCCTGCCCCAGTGCACAGTGGGATGGTATGAGCAGCTAGCTGGTTGGGGCTGGAGAAAGGGCAAAGTCTTCTGGCCCGTGAGGGGGGCAGGTGGGCCTGTTTGTGTCCAGAGGTTTGGATCATTGGTTATGTAATGTTCTCGGGGTGGGCAGGCTTTGTCTTCCTTCTAGTAGCATAAACTATCTGGTGTTAATTGATACTTTCATTTTGTTCATAGATACTGTCCAGCTCTGAACATCATGTTGTCCTTTCTTATAGGGAGTGAAGTTGACGAGACCAACAGTATAACGAAGGAGGCACTCTTTATGCAGCAATGTATATTTGTACAGAATTGTACATACAAACAGTTCTGAAGACTTGTACTTGTGAATGTTGCTTCGATGCATATTTTATTTTTTTACACAAGAATGTGATAAAAAAAAGTTTAAGTGCCTTAAAATGTATTGGACAGGAGCGTTATTTCCAGAACCTACTTTGTTGGTTACTGGCAGGGGTGGTACCGTATTTTGGAGTGGTTTAATTTTTTTTTTTCTTTCCAAACACGGGAAACCATGATCATGACAAAAAGCAAATATGTTTTCCCCGTACCACCTTTGGTGCAGAACAACCCTACACTAGTTACTGTGCTGTTTGAAATGAGGTCACACCATCAGGAAAATGCCCTTCTGACGACAGTGAAAATTTCCAAAGTCTTATTCATGAATACTTTGATTTACTGTGTGATTCTTTGTTTCTACAACTGTGACATGCCTCTTCCTTATCAACTCAGCAGGGGTCATGGATTGCATAGATGCTGAAAGGCATAAGTTATCTGCATTTCTTGACATCATTCTTTAGACATTCCTTCAGATAGTTTCCACACAGAAATTCCTCAGTCCCATTATAAAAGATTGTGGTGTTATATGTCTTAAATTTATTATAAGCTGCTTCAAAGAAAGAGCCTGATGTTTGAGTTTAAGTGAAGTTTTGAGGTAAACTCCAGAACTTGGTAGTCAGGACTTTTAAAATTATATTTCAGATAGTTTCCCTTTTTCTGCCACAATTTCTTTCTTACCTGTTTTCTAGCACACTTGCAAACTCCTAACAGCCAAATGTGAGACATAAAAATGTTCCAGTTTGAGAACAGCAACAATTAATGATGGATTATGTTCACATTCCACAACTGAGACCAAAATTTTTTCTTGTTACACAGATGTCTGAGCACAAATTGCCCCTTTTAGCCAGAAGCAGCCTGTTTCATCCTTGAATTAAGCACACTTAAGGCATTTGAGACAAGTTATTAATGAAAAATTTCTTTGGCAGATTTGACAAATGTTTGCAGAAATTTTTTAAAATTAAATCATATTGTTCTTATGAATAAATAAAAATATAAAGGTCATGGACACAAACAAATTTACATATACACATTCTGTCTAGCCAGATGGAAAGAAAAATGGGCACAGAAAATGCAAAACCATTCATTAACCAAAAGATCAAATAAAACAGTCCCCAGTTGGGCATCAGCTTTCAAAGGAATATTCAATCTTTGCTTCCACTGGGGCCAGACAAACTTTCAGTAGATCCAAATAGAGAAGAAAGCAATATAGAGAATTAGGGGATGCTGTTCCTCTGTTTCCTGCCCAGCATTCTGTCACATCCTCTCTGCATGTCCTTTCTTGGTTTGACAGACAGGATTGGCATCCTGGGTCACACTGATGCTAACTGTGTGCTCAGCAACAGAAAAGATCATTCCTTTGACACCTACCAGGTTTACCAGTGGTATAAATTCGTATTATCGTCACAACCAGGTCTCATCTTGTGTTTCTTCTAACCATTTCAATATTACTGAAACTCATAAATTTCACAATTCTCAATGTAAATGTTAAGGCCAGTGCCAGACTCTGCAAAAATCTGTGGTGGACAAGCTGTTTGTCAAGAATTTCACTTATATCTAAAACTCCAGTAATTTTGCTCAATACTTTTGATGCTCAAAAATGGGGCATAGAAAGGTTTTCATGTTTTGTTCCTACAAGTTTCTTGGAATTTTGGAAGCAGTGGGGTTGTCTGTCTGTCTGTCTGTCTGAGCTATAAAATTCTTTCTCCCTAGCATTAGAATACTGATTTTTTTTCCTCCCCAACTTATCTACCTCTATTGTCTAACACCTACAGTAGGTGTGATTATGGGATAAGGTTCAACTGAAAATGCTATAACATGCTTTAAAAAATGTGTTTTGTTTTCAAATAATCTCTACATAGTGCATTTTGGTGGCTTGAGTGATACGTTTATGCCTATGTCTTTTTTTACACAAATACTGTGGCATATTTTTCCATAAAGAATAAAAAATAAAATCAAAATTTATTTGCAATTCATGCTTATTGGGATTTAATTATTCACCTCAAAATATTTTATTATTATGTTATGCACTGTCAGGCTATCTGTTCATGCATTTTTTTTGTCTAAATGTATTTATGAAGGAAATACATTAGATTATATTTATGTTTACTAATTTTTCCACCTGGGTTTTTTTTAAGTGGTTGTTACAAAATTGGATTTTTTTTAAATGGGTGATGTTGATCTTTTCATGTGTCCTTTTCTAAGTTTTAAACTTTGTATTTTTTTAAAATTCCCTATTCTGTTTAAAACTAACACACCTCTGGCTAATGTTCAGTGTTTGTTTATGCTAAATACCAAATTTTTACAAAAGGATTGGTGAAATAATAAAGTGGATTATTTATGATGAATGGAAGATGGAAATAATTCTATGATTAAACAAAGATATTTCACAAATCACGAGAAAACCTGTGGCTTATTTTTAACCCGGTTTCAGATGCAGTCATAATGCCTTCTAAGTCTATCTCGATTTCTCTTTATTCATTCTGGCACTATTGTACCATTTGTGATTAAAAACACATAAGTTTCATAATCGTGCAGGTATCCATGTCATCAATACCTCCACCACAGCATCATGTTAAAATCCAAAATTCACCCTTGCTTTTTTGGTTAGAGTTGTTTTCTCTGCAACAGGGTTGACAACCAAAAGAGAAACATAGCCAACAGATGGGGCCAAATTTTGGTGCTCTGAATTTTAGGTACCCTTGTCATATTTAAAGGGATAGAAAAGATGAAGCCTTGGAACGCGTTTTCCAAACGTGTTTCTTTACAAGCGCCTTACCTTGTGTAGAATTCCATATTCGGGTCTTCTTCTTTGGCTGTCTTCTTGGCTTAGCAATCCTCTTCTCCTGGCAGGCTGTTGGAGATGCCAGCCCCCTCCACGAAGCTTTCCTGCTCTGCCCCCCCCACCCCCAGCCTGTGGCAGACTTGCTCCCTGTGACACACCCTTAGAATTTGTCCTTCAAGTTCTGAAACCTTTGCATCGTCTAATCATGACTTTGCATTTGTCTCCTACAGCATGGCCCCCATTTCTGTTTCTCTGCAGTGCCTACCTAGCATAGGGCCTGGTTCAGCGCAGTACCAGAAAACACGCATTGATTTTCTCAATTGTGATCTTAATAGGTAGGACGTAAACCTTCAAAATGATGAAAGAGCGCTTCCCTACATATAGATCATTACTAATTTGCAAGGAAAACGGACTGCTTTACGCTGTTCCTATCTGAGTAAGACTGGAGCTGCCTCTTGCTACTCAGAGAAATGCCTTACTTCATAGCTCTGTAAATATGAACTCTCCAAGGTGACATTGCAGGTGTGATAAGCAAACAGCTTCCATCATCTCTGCTCTGACAGCACAGTAAACCCTCAATAATTCAGGCTAAATCAGGATGGGTCAATCGGAATTAGTGACTACTTTATATGCATGAAAAATAAGAGTTTCCCTTATAGGAGTTTTAACACACTACAAAGAGTAGATACAGATTATTATGTTTATCATCCTATCATTGGTTTGTAAACAGACATAAATGAAAGGTCTTATAAGAGTTTATTCTCTCTAGCAAGCCAATTAATCTTACTTACACCATAGGATGGCTTCTCAAATGTGAGTAAAATAGAACCTCGTTTAAAGGGGGAAAAAGTTTCTCATAGAGCCTGGGAAACTCATATATAGAGCCAGTTCTGAAAAACTGTAATTGAACGGTGAATGACTGTCACTACCAATCTATCAGGGCGCATGTGTTTGTTGACACAGGTGAAGACGAGACCCATGAAATTCCAGCACCCTTCTGAGACATCGAGGGTCCCCTGGATGATTTCAACAACTCAGAAATTCCAGACAGTCGTAAGGAAGGAGCGCAGGGTTTCTGTGAAACCAGGCCTTAGAGTCTGCTGACAGGAAAAGACAACACACTGAAGAGGTCTATCCTAGCCTCCACTATACACATGGATCATTCCCTCAATCCCCACTGTTTCAGATATGAAATCCTTGCCACGTGGTTGATTTGTGCTCACTACTGGAAGTTCTAGATTCCGACTCTGGGTGTTCACAGGGAGCACCATTGTCAGCATGGGATCCTGGGCTGGTTTTTGCCAACATGCTGAAAACTCATCCTGTATCTTTTCCACCAGGATGTGTCCACTATGACTTCCTACCTGGGCCCCACTGCTGTAAGCGTCTCATGTGTGGTGTGTTCTGACAGCACCCCTGCCCCCTTAGCCGCCACCCCGCAGCTGTGCCTGAGAAGTCCCATGCCTGTTGGAGATGGAGCAAAATACCGTTTACAGCTCACCTCTCTTTCGCCTCACAAAGCCAAAGAGACTGGTGTGGCATCCTAGGTTTGTTACTAGGATCAAATGTGATAATCTCAACAAACAGCTTGTCACAGCTCCTGCCACTTGGCAAGAACTCAGTAAGTGGCAGCCATTATCACTGCCCAAGAACGGATGGGACCCGGATGAACTATGCTGGATGTGTAGAGTCAGGTGTCAGGCTCAGTTCTGCATGACTTCTAATTATGCAAATGACCTATTACAAAGTCCATTAAATGTCACTAGTCAAGTCAGGAAGTGATCGGGGCATGAGTCTTACTTCATCAGTTAATGAAGATATCGGATTCAGAATTTCAAGATGGTTGCAGCAATCCCTGTCTTCCAGCAGGGATAGGAAGGTCTTCCCACCCCACCAATGCTATCTGGCTTATGCCATTTTCTGCCTCCTCCAAAGAACCCCAAGCAGAAATTTTTCCCAACTTCCCCAAAAGCCCTGAGTCTGGCTCAGAACCATCCGATAAATCACTTCACAGACAGAGCTGCCCCCATATTGATTCCGATTGACTACTGCCTGCCTGGGATGAGTTCTGGTTTGGAGGCTGCTCCCAGAGCAGGCACTGTGGTCACAGCCCTCTCAGAGGGCCATTCCTTGAGCTCCCTGCAGCCAGGTTGAAACGTCCCCTCTCCGCTCGAGAGTGCCACCATGGTCCTGGCATGGCTGCCTGTCCATTCCACTCATCCCTTTAAGGTTAACATTTCCAGGAATTCTGGCATCTGATTTTTCTTCCCATCCCCCACCCCCGGCCTTTCCCAGTGCCTTTCCCACAGTTCTAGCATCAACCACCTTCTGTAAACCAGCAAGAGCTCCCGGATAGGTAGCCCGACATTTGGACATTCCCACATAGGTATCTCAAGTCACCTCCAACCCCACGCCCCTGAAGCAAAGCCAGCCACCTCTTCCTTTCCCTGCACTCAGTCCTCCCCAAGCCCACCTCCTATGTTGCCACAGCAACCCAGGCCTGGTGACCTCCCCCAAGACCTTCACCTCTCCCTTTTCATCTTCACTAGTCACCAAATTCTCTTGATCCTACTACAAGTCCTCTCCTTAATCTCCACTTTCCTCACTCCACTGCCACTGTCTTAAAATACCTTAAAAATGTAACATTTTTTCCTCCAATAATACCTTTCTCCAATCCAGGGCACATTTATCAATCACCTGCCACATGCCAAGAGCCCCGCCAAATGCTTTATGTGAATCATCCCACTTAACCCTTATGACACTTTTGACATTCGTGTGATCATTCCCATTTTATAGATTAGAAAGTGGAGGCTCCAAGAAGCTAAGTTCCAGGTGCCACTGCTTATAAGTGGTGAAGCCTGGGTTTTCTCCTGGGTTGCTGACACAGCCAGCACCTCTGCTAATGATTCCCCATTTTAAGGTCCCACCACAGCCCCCACCGCTGTGAGACACAGTCATCGGTTATTAACAATTGCCTACTGAATTTCTTTACTTGCTATGATATCACTTATCAGGTTGTGCCAGACTATCTTTGTCCACATATCTCTCCCCCTCTAAATTAATCCATTTCTTCAATGGAGAATTTGTTTTTTCTTATCTCTGTAACCCTGATGACTAGCAGAATGCTTGCCTGATGTTAGGGACCTCAATAAATGTTTATTGAATAATGAGTTAACCTGTAAAGTCCTCCAGATTGCTTTCCTGATTCTGGGGAGGGGGGCAGGGGACAGATGTCTTCTGATTATGAAACACTGTTTTTGGAGTGTAGCATGTAACTGAATTATCACTCAGTAAATGGAAAGCATCCTATGAATCAATCTACAAATGCTTCTGAAAGGACTTTTTTCTTTTCATGAAAACAATCAATAAAAATAATAATGACTGTTTCAAGGCCGGAGCATCGAGAACTCAGTATCCCTCTCCAATGCCCATTCCTTGTTTCACCACCTGCTTTGGGAGCCGTCTCTCTGGCTGCTGTCTGTGCAAGGGTCCTGAGGTCAGGGTCAGACACCCAGCCTGGGAGAAGCATGTAGCTTTTGGCCCCAAGCTCATCAAAGAGACCCTGACTCTCTGCCCTTCATCTCCCTTCTGCTTCTCACTCCCCCAGGACACACATGCATCCCTGCTTGCCCTCCTGGGACATGAACCACTCAGCCCCAAATGCTAAGTGAGGATCCAACCA